AAGGCTGACTCTAGGCAACCCTCGAAGCCCCCCACCCCCCGTAGGAGCACATGACAGGGCTGGTATTCAACAAAAGTCAGGTAAGACTTCTTGATATTATGTAGACCTACTGTGTCCTGCTGACATTTGCAAAGTGAAATTCAATCCTGGATCCTGAATCCTTCCAATCAAATACCTGAAGAAGAGAAACTGGAGAAATAATCAATCATTTTAATAATAGACAAAGATGACAGAAAACCAAGTCTTTTTTTTTTTGAGGCAGAGTCTTGTTCTGTCGCCAGGGCTACAGTGCTGTGGAGTCAGCTAGCTCACAGCAACCTCAAACTACTGGGCCTAAGCAATCCTCCTGCCTCAGCCTCCCAAGTAGCTGGGACTAAATGTGCCACCATGCCCAGCTAATTTTTTTTTCTATTTTTAGTAGAAACGAGGATCTTACTCTTGCTCTGGCTGGTCTTGAACTCCTGATCTCATGCGATCCTCCTTCCTCAGCCTCCCAGAGTCCTAAGATTACAGGCATTAGCCACTGCACCAGGTCGATATTGGTGTACATTTATTTACATTCTGGGGAATACTCCTTGGGAAGTGCCACCGTCAGCAAAAAATCCCCCATCCACAGCCCCTGGCTCATAGTTATGGCATAATATTAGTTTGGTGCAAAAGTAATTGCAGTTTTAGCATGGTTGAAATTTGTCATTTGGTATTGGAATACATTCTTAAATAAACGTGGTATGTTATACATCATTTTAATGCACATTTCTTGCTTTTTTTTTTGCTAATGACTTATTACATGCTGTTTCTTTTATATTTATTTTAGACTATGGAAAAGATGTTAGACAAAAAGCAAATTCAAGTGATTTTCTTTTTCAGGTTCAAAATAGGTTGTAAAGCAGCAGAGACAACTCATGACATCAACAACGTATTTGGCCCAGGAACTGCTAATGAACCGTACGTGCAGTGGTGGTTCAAGAAGTTTTGCAAAGGGCCGGGCACGGTGGCTCACGGTGGCTGTAATCCTAGCACTCTGGGAGGCCGAGGCGGGCGGATTGCTCGGGGTCAGGAGTTCGAAACCAGCCTGAGCAAGAGTGAGTCCCGTCTCTACTATAAATAGAAATTAATTGGCCAACTAATATATATAGAAAAAACTAGCCGGGCATGGTGGTGCATGCCTGTAGTCCCAGCTACTTGGGAGGCTGAGGCAGCAGGATTGCTTGAGCCCAGGAGTGTAAGGTTGCTGTGAGCTAGGCTGATGCCATCCATGGCACTCACTCTAGCCTGGGCAACAAAGCGAGACTCTGTCTCAAAAAAAAAAAAAGAAGTTTTGCAAAGGAGACGAGACCTTGAAGATGAGGAGCACAGTGTTCAGCCATCAGAAGTTGACAATGACCAATTGAGTTGACAATGACCAATTGAGAACAATCATCGAAGCTGATCCTCTTGCAACTACATGAGAAGTTGCCAAATAACTCACCCTTGACCATTCTATAGTTGTTTGGCATTTGAAGCAAATTGGAAAGGTGAAAAAGCTCGGTAAGTGGGTGCCTCATGAGCTGATAGAAAATAAAAAAAGAAAATCATTGTTTTGAAGTGTCCTCTTCTTGGATACAACAACTACAAACCATTTCTCGATTGGACTGTGATGTGTGACAAAAAGTGGATTTTATACGACAGCTGGTGATGACCACCATGACCAGTGGTTGGACTGAGAAGAAGCTCCAAAGCACTTCCCAAAGCCAAACTTGCACCATAAAAAGGTCATGGTCACTGTTTGGTGGTCTATGGAAGTTTTGCCTCATCTACCATATTCACCTGACCTCTCGCCAACCAGCTACCACTTCTTCAAGCATCTGGACAACTTTTTGCAGGGAAAATGCTTCCAAAACCAGCAGGAGGTGGAAAATGCTTTCCAAGAGTTCCTTGAATCCCAAAGCACGGATTTTTACGCTACAGGAATAAAACGTATTTCTCACTGGCAAAAATGTGTTGATTGTAATGATTCCTATTTTGATTCATAAAGGTATATTGGAGCCTAGTTATAATGATTAAAAAATTCGTGGTCCAAAACTGCAATTACTTTTGTACCAACCTAATAAATATTAGCTGTTATCATTATTATTATTACTATTATTGTCATTAAAGGCAGAGGTTCATACTTTGGCTAATGTAATTTCACCTTTCTCCAAGTGCCTTGCACAGTCCTGAGTCCTCAGAGGGAATGACACAGATCAATCACTCAGTCAACAAGCACTGACAATTTGTGTTGACTCTGGGCCTCCTGGGTCACCTGGCTTCATCTGAGATAAAGGGCAGCTCATTTCTTTCCTCTCTTCTACCAAGGAAAAGGCTTCAGGGAAGCCTTGGCATAGAAGTTCATAAACATGCCTGAAGGTCACCAAATGCTAAAACAACCTTCCCTATATCCTCCTTTTTAAGCTGAACAAATCCTACTCCCCAGTTTCAAGTCCTAACTCAAGTCCAGCCACCTCCAAGAAGGCTTCCCTGACTACTTCTTCCTTCCACTTCTCACCTAGGGTCTTCTGTACCTCTTCTTTTGTCCCCTAACTTTTCTACACCATGTGTTTAGTGACTGGCATGGCATCAGTTTGTGCAGGGATCTAAATGAGGGAGGTTGGTTGGAAGTAACACCAGAAGGGGTGGACCTGAGACTCACTAATGTGTGCTGGGCTCATCTCATCATGTTTAAATTCAATAAATAATAATAAAAATGCTGTGTGGGCCAAACAAAACACGCCTGGGGGCTGAAATTGGCCAGAGGACTGACAGCTTGCAACAGCTAGAATATTATCTGAAGGGGAAAGGGCACTGGATTTGGAAACTTTAGAAATCCTGGAGCTTCCACCAACCAGAAGTATGAATTCAAATAAAACATCTAATCTTTCTGAGCCTCAGGTTCCACATCTGTAATATGGGGTAACACTTGTTCTGCCTTCTTTGTGGGATTTAAAGAATGCTTTTCCTGACTCTTTGCTAATGACCACTACCTCTTTTATGATAATAATATACATTTATTAAATATTTACTATATGCTGTTCTAAGCACTGTGGGAATATTAACTCACTTAATCCTTATAATAACCCTCACGGGTAGAAGGTTATTGTAACTGAGGCAGAGAGAGGCAATCTACCTCTAATTTTTCTATTTTTTGTAGAGACAAAATCTGGCTCTTGCTCGGCTGGTCTGGAACTCCTGTTCTGTAGCCATCCTCCTGCCTAGTCTTCCAGAGTGCTAGGATTATAGGCTTGAGCCACCATACCCAGCCAATCTTACTTTCTTTTCTGAATGCCTTCCTTTTTTTTTTCCTTTTTTTGAGACAGAGTCTTACTTCTGTTGCCCGGGCTAGAGTGCCATGGCATCAGCTTAGCTCACAGCAACGTCAAACTCCTAGGCTCAAGCAATCCTTCTGCCTCAGCCTCCTGAGTAGCTGGGACTACAGGCGTGTGCCACCATGCCAGGCTAATTTTTTGTATATATATTTTTAGTTGGCCAATTAATTTCTTTCTATTTTTAGTGGTGGTAGAGATCGGGTCTCGCTCTTGCTCAAGCTGGTCTCAAACTCCTGAGCTCAAACGATCCGTCCACCTCGGCCTCCCAGAGTGCTAGGATTATAGGCTTTAGCCACCATGCCCAGCCGAGATGTTATGTCTTGAGCAGTCAGATCACAGCCAGACATAGGCTAGGACTTCTTCAAGTGAAGTAGGACCACCTGGTGCCTTAAAGCACAAGGGATCTCACTAGTGACTAGATACATAGATTTCTAGGTCCAATCCCAGACTAGGCTTGATTCCTATGAGTTTGGAGTTGGCGTTCAAAGAAGTCTTCCCTCATCACCCAAACTAAAGTAGCCCATCTAGTCTAACTTACTACAGCAGAAATTATTGTCTTCATAGATACTAGACAAGAATTTATCACTTAATTTATTGTCTCCTTCTCACCTTAGAAGGTAAATTCCATGGGGACTTTGTTAGCCCGATTTATTGACAAACCTGTTTCCTAGAACCCTGCAGGCCCCCACCGTATTAGGTCAGTAAATATTTATTGAATTTAACGTACACTGAAGTTTGAAACCGCTAGAAAACACCGCTCCTTCATTATACACGAGGGAAACTGAGGCCCAAGGAAATGGCAATGACTGCTATGGAGTTGGTAAAGGCCAGGAATCTGGTAAAAGCCAGATCTCAGAAGTCCCAATGGAGCTTTGGTTCAGCACCGCCCAAAGCAATTCTTTAGAAAAAAAGAAATTCACTTGAAAGAAAAGACATTTCCTGCCCATAAATACTAGGTTTAGGGGTGGAGGGAAGGCCTGGCCCAAGTGAGGATCATGGTAACTCTGTTCCCACTTTCTAGGCGCCCGCTGCCCCTAGGGCTAAGGGCTCACCCGAGTCGAACCCATCTCCCGGCGGAGTCCAGGCCCGCGGGAGGAGCGGGACACAACCCGCGGAGGTGAGGGCGGCTCGCCAAAGGTCACCCGGGCGGGGCCTGGAAGGTCCAGGCCCGCGGGGCACAGGGGAGTGGGCGGCGTCGGCGCGTCCTCGGGGCGGATGAGGACCCCCCTTTAGTACTCTGGAAGTCAGGGGTGACGTTAATGGCTCCTTCCCCTGAATCTGGCACCCAACCTAAAGAGCGCGAGCAGGCCCAGCCGGCCGCGTGGCCCGTTCCCATGTGCTCCACCTGAGGCCGCTCTCACGCGCTGGCCCTTTAAGACACCTCCCCCTCTTCACCCCCCAGCTCTCCTGCCCCCCTCATCACCCCCCCATCCCGAATTGCATCAGGCACGTGCTCGCCCCCGTCCGGTCTGAGCACCCCACCCCCTAGCCCCGGAGGTGCTCAGAGGAATCGGAGGCGAGGGGCGGGGCGAGGGGCGGGACCGCGAGGGTGTGTGCGCGCGCGCTCCCGCCGCCTCTGCCCGCCCGTCGCCAAGGGCCGGCCCGGCGGGCGCGCCCCCGCTGCGCAGTCCCCTCCCGTCGCCCGCCGCGTCGCGAGGCGCGCGCCCGCCCGCCGCCTGCCGCGGATCGCGTGGTCGGCTTGGCTCGCCGCGCCTATCCCTGTCCGTCCATATTGCTGCAGCCCCCGAGCCGGGAAGCCCGGGCCGCCCCGGGGGCGGGGGGGAGGGAGGGACCGGACGAGAAGCCTGCTGCGCTCGGGGTGGGGGCGCCTCGTGAGGAACGGGCGGGGGGGGACGCACGCCGAGGAGGCCTGGACCGCAGAGTGGGGGGCCTTCCTCCCCCCCCCGCCCCGCCAGCGGGCCTCGGATCTACGGCGGCTGCATCCGACCGGGAGGGGGGCCGCGCCTAGCGGGAACCCCGATCCTTCTCAGCAGGGACTGGGGCCCGGCGCCCCTGAGGAAGGCGTCGCGGGCGCTGTGTGAGCCAAGTTCGAGGCGGGGGAGGCAGCCTCGGGCGCGCCCGGCTTCTCCGGGGGGGGGGCGGGCGCGCAGATGGCCACTCAGGTGGAGCCGCTGCTGCCGGGGGGCGCCCCGCTCTTGCAGGCCGAAGAGCACGGGGGGCTGGTGAGGAAGAAGCCGCCGCCGGCGCCCGAGGCCAAGGGCGAGCCCGGGGCGAACGACGTCGGTGGGGGGGAGCCGGACGGCGGCGCCCGGAGACTCCGGCCGCCCTGCGCCAAGCCACACAAGGAGGGCACCGGGCAGCAGGAGCGCGAGAGCCCGCGGCTGCCGCAGCCGCCCGGCGCCGAGGGCCTGACCGTCAGCGACGGGGAGGAAGGCGGCGGCGAGCCGTGCGCCGGCGGAGGAGCTGCCGGAGCGGCGGGCGCCGGGCGCCGAGACTTCGTAGAAGCCCCCCCGCCCAAGGTGAACCCGTGGACTAAGAACGCGCTGCCGCCGGTCCTGACCACCGTGAACGGACAGTCTCCTCCAGGTGGGTCTCTCCCCTTGCTCTCCTGGGTCCGGGGCCTCTTCCGGGGACATGGGAGTCCCCTCCCCCAGCGGCCTCCAGGGCCCTGGGGTCCGCGGTGACTCTGGAATTTTTCTTACTGCCTCCTGGTTAATTCGGGTTGCCGTGCCCTACCCCCACCACACACGGGGGAGCCTGCCCCTGCCCGAGGCCCCGGCCTCCGGGAGGCCACGGCCGCCGCCTGGGCCGCAGCGGTTAGTGGGCAACGGCGCGGTCCGGGCCTACCTCGCCAGGAGTGGGTGGGCGCTGGTTGGGGTGAAAAGGACCCTCTGTCCCCCGCCGCGTTTTGTTGTAAGAGACGGTTTCTGGTTTGAATCGTACTGGGGAAGCCCCCTGTTCCCATCCCGCCTGCGCTCCCCGTTTTGGTAGCGTCGCGAGCGTCCCCATGTTGTAAATGTTTAATGAGCATATGTCATGGGCAACAAGCACAGCGCCTGGTGAGGAGTTCATGCCGACCGCACGGATTCGGGGTTTGAAAGTTAACAAGTTTGGTTCCCGGGTAGATGATGATAGGCGGTAGAATCGCCATTTGGAGACAGATTGAGGGGTCAGTTACGGGGGACAACGGGGCGAAGAGGAAACCCAACGTGTCATTGAATTCGGTGGTTTCCCTCCACGATCCCGAGCACCTTCCGCGTTAAGGAGGAGCCCGATGGTGAATGGGCTGAGGAACCAGTTAGGGGGTTGGCGGAAAATGTGAGGCGGGTGAGGGGCATGCGGCGACTCGAGGGGCGTGTGGCGGCGGGGGAGGGAGTGGCCGGGCAGGCGGGTGACAGTTGGGCGCCATGCGCCGCGCCGGCGGTCAGCGGGCTGCTCGCGGCCGCTCGGCCTCAGCGTTCGGTGCGGGTCGCCGCGCTCGGGGTGGAAAGCGGGTGCGGGCCCGCGGCGCGGCCGAAGTGTGCGTGAGTGTGAGTGCGCGTCCCCCTTCCCGGCATTCCTCCGCAGCCGGGACAGCGTGGTGCCTCCCCGCGCGGGGAGCGGCATGTGACCGCCGGCCGGCGCTCCCACAGTCTCCCTCTCCCCTCTCCGTTTTTTGGCCATTTTAGACCAGACCCCTTTTGGGGGAGGTGAGGGTGCAGGAAATCCCAGCAGAGCCGTGTCAGCGTGGAGAGAGAGGCGGTGCAGAATATGGAGTCTGCTCTTGGCCTCCCTTTGCCGAGAACAGTAGATTGTCTGCTTGGGTGGGGGGCGTGCCCTCTGTCTTCTCTTTGCCTGTGCGTGGCACAGTGGGTCTGGATTCTTTGGTTTTGGGTTCTTTGGAAGCGGGTCAATATTAAAACTGGCTTATAGCTAGAACGATGGCCTCTGGCAGTAGCCCCAGTGCTTTTTCCAAACTCCTCCCCTTCTGCAGTCGCTAGTTGAGACTGGTTTAAACTATCAAAATGGGGAAAGTTGAAGGGGGAGCTTAATGCCTTTCCACTCAATGGAGTAGAATCACTCATAGTCCTAGGGAACCAGAATAGCTAATCCTGAAAAAAGCATGTAGCAATTTTTATTTCTTTTCAGCGTGCTTCACTTGGAGGAGGGGGCATTTGGGGTTTACTAACAGTACCTTAGACCATGTTCTCTTCTCCTGCCCTCCTCTCTCCTCCTTCCCCTTCCAGAACCCTCTTATGCAAAGGGCAGTGCTGAAACTTCCATTTTCTTTTAAATCCCTCCTATCCACCCACAGAGTGAGGGAAAACAACTTTAAGACACTCTTTGGTCCTTCCCCCTTCTTTAAACTCAAAAGGGTATAATCATCCCCAGGAGAGAGCACTCCTCAGAAGTTTAAATGGGGCTACTCACCCTGGCTGCTGCTGCTTAGCTAATAGTGATCCTGCCTTGTGGGTTTTAAATCAGCCATGACATCAGGTGGTATTGGGTGCCTGAGCTGGCATTTTGTGTTAAGTCCAGGGGCCCTTGATAGTGTGCGTCACTGGGGTTATTGATCGTGGGAAGAAGACAGCTTGGCTGGCACCTTGCCTTTCCCTCTGAGTGGAGAAGCCAACTTGCTTTAAGTGCCCAAAGCAAAATTCTGAGCGGGTTAGGTTTGCACTGTCCTTGTTTTTCTGGACTCTTAGAGCAATAGAGTATCTACACGTAGGTTTAGAAACTTTGGAATAGTCTTTGACAGACTGAGTTAATCCAGTAGCTTATCTGTTTTAAGCCTGTTAGGACTTGGGTGCTTTTTGAGAGAAGAATTCTGTGTGATTAGGTTGTCTGGTAAGGTTAGGCGGTGGCCCTTTTTGGATCTTTAAGGCCCTTTTCCACCATTGGTTTTATTTGCAGCTTGGACAGATTTAAATGTGACACCAGTGGAGTGGCTGTGTGGTCTTGGGAATTTTTGTGTTCTGTGATGCATATGTTTTTGGGAGTCTACAGAAATGAGTGCCTCATAAGCAAGCTAAAAGCTTTCCAAAGCTTGCTGCAAACGCCTATTTTTAGCCCTCCTTTTGGCTCAGTTGATGGTGTTTTAGTTCTTTAAGGGACACATGCAGTAACTAGTAATAAAATATGTTTTTGTGATATCTCTCCTTTCTTGTGGGGTTCTCTATTCTGGTTTAAGCTTCCAAGTCTTACATTTGTAGTTTTAAGTCTTGGGATTTGGTTTTTGGATCCCACTCACCCTCTAGGTTATTTTAAAATGTTAAAAATTTTTTCTTTATCCCAGCCACACCCCTTCTAAGGATAAAGTTCAGGATGTCTAAGTTAAAAGCAGAGATGATACATAGCAGAAGTTCTGGGGTCAAACTATGGATGCAAATGCCAGCCTCACCACTTATCAGCTGTGCCTCCTTGGACAAGTTATTTAACCATTCTGTGCCTCACCTTCTTCATTTGTATAGTAGGTATTGATTTATGATTCACCTGCCTCATGGGGCTATTGTGAGAATTCCCTGTGAGGATACTTGTAAAGAGTTTAGCCCAGTGCCTGGCATGTGGTAGCTGTTAGGATGTCTGGGAGACTGGGACTTTGTGGAACTTTCTCTGGGATTCTGTTTTTCTCCACCTATATAATATGAGGGGCTTAGAGACCATTTATTACTCATTTATTCATTCATTCTGTCTCTGCTGCTTGAATCAGAATAGATCTTTCGGTGGAGTGCGGTGGCTCGCCTGTACTCCTAGTTCTCTGGGAGGCTGAGGCTGGCGGATTGTTTGAGGTCAGGAGTTCAAAACCAGCTCTGAGCAAGAGCAAGACCCCATCTCTACTATAAATAGAAGGAAATTAATTGGCCAACTAATATATATAGAAAGAAAAAATTAGCTGGGCATGGTGGCGAATGCCTGTAGTCCCAGCTACTCGGGAGGCTGAGGCAGGAGGATTGCTTGAGCCCAGGAGTTTGAGGTTGCTGTGAGCTAGGCTGACGCCATGGCACTCACTCTAGCCTGGGCAACAAAGCGAGACTCTGTCTCAAAAAAAAAAAAGAAGAGATCTTTCCTTTTCTTGTGTTGTATCAGTATTCCATGAAATATGGGATATGTCTCCTTAAAAATTGACTTTGCTTATCTACAGATATAAAAGGCGTGGTATGGTTAATCTTAAAGGTTGGTGACCCTAAGAATTGGCTGTTTTTACTTTGGAAGTGGTGTGATGAATTTTTTGAAATACGTTTTAATTTTAATTTATTTTTATTTTTTTAGAGACAGAGTCTCACTTTGTTGCCCAGGCTAGAGTGAGTGCCGTGGCCTCAGACTAGCTCACAGCAACCTCAAACTCCTGGGCTGAAGCAATCCTACTGCCTCAGCCTCCCGAGTAGCTGGGACTACAGGCATGTGCCCCCATGCCTGGCTAATCTTTTGTATGTATATTTTTAGTTGGTCAATTAATTTCTTTCTATTTTTAGTAGAGATGGGGTCTCGCTCTTGCTCAGGCTGGTTTCAAACTCCTGACCTCAAGCAATCCACATGCCTCGGCCTCCCAGAGTGCTAGGATTACAGGTGTGAGCCACCACGCCCAGCCCGTTTTAATTTTTACATTTGCCTTTTGTAAAGATTCTATTTGGGAGAGTATACATGTGCTTTCTGGGTTGTGAGGAAAAGCCAGCCTAACTGAACCAAAAGTTTGTTGTGGCTTGAGAGTACAGACAGTTCCCAACTTATGTTTCAGCTTACAATCTTTTGACTTTATAATGATGCAGTAGTGATACTCATTTAAATAAGAAACTATTTCAAGTTCCTATACAGCCATTCTGTTTTTCACTTTTAGTGCAGTATTCAATAAATTACACAAGATACTCAACACTTTATTATAAAATAAGGTTTATGTTAGATGATTTTGCCCAACTGTAGGCTAATAGCAGTGTTCTGAATATGTTTAAGGTAGGGCAAACTGGTTGGATGCAGTGGCTCACACCTGTAATCCTACCACTATAGGAGGCTGAGGCAGGAGGATGGCTTGAGCTCAGGAGTTCAAGACCAGCCTGAGTAAGCGTGAGACCCCATCTCTACTAAAAATAGGAAAAATTAGCTGGGTGTAGTGTCATGTGCCTATAGTCCCAGCAACTTGGGAGGCTGAGGCAGAAGGATCATTTGAGCCCAGGAGTTTGAGGTTGCTGTGAGCTAGGCTGATGCCATGGCACTCTAGCTGGAGTGACAGAGTGAGACTCTGTCTCAAAAAAGAAAAAGATAGAGTAAGCTAAGCTATTATACTCAGTACAATAGGTGCATTAAATGCATTTTCAACATAGGTGGATTTATGGGGATGTAAATCCATCATAAGTGGAGGAGCATCTGTATATCATTCTTAAAATCCTTCATCCACCCCAACAGAAGTAATCAGTGGATTTGTTGTATATATACTTCTAACTTTATGTAATAAGACTAACTAGTGCTAAAGTTGGGGACAAGGTCTGATTTAAGCATTTATATTTTGAGCATCATTTCTTTTGTCTCTGAAAAGCAACAAATTGATGACACAAGATAAAATAGTGTAATAATGCAGCTATAACCTGTGATATACCACAGGGATCCTCTACCAC